ACGTTATTCAGTTCTACGTGAACAGTCTAAAGTATAACATATACAGTTATACCTGAGCAGAATACCATAAATTGTTTGTTACTATCTGAATGCACTGGCACTGCAAATGTCTATTATACGTTTTTCATCTCATGTTAACATATTACAGCATTTTATTCACATGTTTGTCAAATTGGTGCAGATTATATTCTTTAATGTGTATAATTTAATTTTAGCAAGCAGAATACCATAAATTGTTTGTTACTATCTGAATGCACTGGCACTGCAAATGTCTATTATACGTTTTTCATCTCATGTTAACATATTACAGCATTTTATTCACATGTTTGTCAAATTGGTGCAGATTATATTCTTTAATGTGTATAATTTAATTTTAGCAAGTAGATGAAGACTGCAACACTATAATGGAGTTAACTACAGATACTATCATATTTTGATCATAATATTAAGTCAAAGTGATTATGGAATCTGGAAATACGTTTATCGTAGCAATTATGAAGAAATTAAGTTTATCACAAGTCGTGAAATGCAAATGTTTTGCCTTTTAACATTTCTAAAATTACCTGAATAAAAATAGCAGTTATTACAGTTGTAAGTGTCATACCATATCTGATTACAATGGAAATTATGTGAAATGTTTTGGAATAACGAACTGTTATATCTTCAGCAAAAATCATCAATTTGAAACACAAATTTCATATACTAAATATGCAAAAAAAACAATAGTCTAGACGGAAGGTCTTCACCGGAAAGGCTGAAACTCCAGTGCAAATATTTATTAGAGAATGTAAGCGTGATAACAAAATGAGTAGACGTGTTGCACCAGTAATGTTGCAAAGATTATATTTGCCAGGTTTAATATATTCTTTGATAATAATAATAATAATAATAATAATAATAATAATAATAATAATAATAATAATAATAATAATAATAATAATAAATTCTTTATTTAAGGAGGGCGACTCAATTAGAATTAGTCTAATTTTCATTGAGGCCCTCAAACAGAATAAAATTGAGAATGGAAATGGGGAATGTGGCAAAGAGACAACAACCCGACCAAAGAGCAGAAAACAGCCGAAGGTTAACAGTTAACATTCATACATCAAAATACAATTTAAATATATACAAATCAATCATTTAAACATTTAAATGGCAGCAATTTATAAAGTTTTCATATTCTAACCAGTATAATTCTTGCTACTCTTTTTTGAAGTTTTATGATTCTATCTGAATCGTTTTGTAATAAACTTCCCCAAACTGAACTACAATAGTCTATATATGGTAGAATATATGTATTATAAAATAGTGGTCTTATGTATATAGGCAAATATTCTTTAAGTTTATACAAAAGTGATATGTTAGATGAGATAATCTTACATATACGACCAACATATTCTTCCCAGCTTAAATTTTCATTAATGTCAATTCCAAGTAATTTGAAAGAATGGACATTCTGAATACAGGTTTCGTTGATGGTAAAACATAATTCTGATAGTTGTGTAAGTTTTTGTTTTCAACTCAATTTCATACACTTTGGTTTTTGTGCATTAATTTTTTATACTATTATTGTCACACCAAGATTTTACAGCATTTAAATCATTTTGAAATATGCTGTTATTTTTTTTTCAAGTTTCGTATCATGAAAATGCCATGGTGAATCAGCAGCATATAAATGAGGGGCCTGATTGGGGGGGGTCTCATCACGATTCACGAGTTGATTTTTTTGTCAATCACGATTCACAGAAAATAAATTTCCATGATCACGGATCACGAAAATATAAAAAAAAATAAATCTGTAGAAAAACGGATCACGATAGCGAAAATGCGCCGATCACGAAGAACGAAAATAACCCATCAGGCCCCTCATAAATCCATGATGACATACAACGCATGTGCCTAATTGGATTTAATCAAACACACTATAAATTCATTAATGTAAGACAATATCAATATTTTATTGCAGTTTTTTTATAATCAATTTACCAGGACTCTTCTTTTAAAAGAAATTATAACGTGGTAAAATATCTTGCATAAGAGCCACCTGTCCTGGAGTAATATATGTATTTAAATGCTCCATATGCTGTACCGTCTTACATGGCACGCTTGCTTAGAAAAATACTCAAGAGCAAAACACATGATTACTTAAATTAATATAGAATAGTAAAAATGACATTTTTTTTTATTTTGATTTAAAGTTCTCCTACGGGAAAACACGTTTTCGGTCTTGTTTTGTATTTATCTGCTTTCATGCAAAGGAAAAAAATGCGACGATGGTTCGTCGAACTTGGTCTTTTCCAAACGATATTCAGTTCCCTATCCGCCAAGCAAAAACTTGCTTCAAATGGTTCTGTTTTTAGAAATGGTGAACGATTTAGATACTAGATACAATCATTCGGCTTTGGGCGTTCCTGATGAAGATAAATCCAGAAAAGCGCTTCGAACGCATGCAATTCATAAAGTGTTGTTTTCATTATTTTACAGGTCGATACAGCTGCTGTAGGACTATCAGTCCCAAAGGGTATTGCCAGCTCTGCAGTCTGAACTTCGGTACTGACATGATTTAAAACAAACCTTTCTAAAATTGTCCGATTATAAATTAAGAAGTTATTTAGTAACTAGGCTGTCAAATCCCTCAGGCAAAGTTGAGCTTAGATGGATTTGGCTATTATTTTAAGGTCCTTTTTGGTCTTATAGCTCTTTAACTGCTCTTATAAATTCTTGGCTTTCAAATATTCGGCCTTGAGCGTTCTTGGTGAATGTAAAACTAGAAAAGCGCTTCGGATGCGTGGAACTTATAAAGTGTTGTTTTCATTATATACAGAACTTGAAAAAAATGAGACCAATAATGTCCGGCCGTTGGGTTTTTCTTTTGTGTTGTTTCACATTTTGTTATGCATGTACTTTGTATAGATTACTATACCTTATGCGTGTTGCTCAATGTTAAAGACCGAACGATGACCTATTGTTGTCACATTCTCGTCCTTTTGGTCTCGATGGATATTTGTCTCATTGCCAATCATACCACAATTCCATTTTTTTTATATTTAACATTATTTTTTCATTCAATTGAAATAAACTTATTGTGCGTAATGTGTTCACTCATTGAACTTTGACCTTAAGAATGGGCAACTGGAATTGACATTTTATAAACCAAAAGTTTCTTTGTACAATTCGAGGTAGCTATTTCTTTAAAACAAAAGCACCTTGCAACTGCAGGCGCTTGGGGCATGTACCCTTTTTAAATTTTTTTACTTTGTATATTTTTTTTAGTATATTATATATTTTTATTATTTTTTAAAAGTTATTTTCACTTTTTTAACTGGTGTTCTTGCTCTTATCCATACGTATAACAATAACAGTAGTGTATACATGCTGCTCATCTATCCTGTGGAAATTAAGGATAAAGGAACAGCATATATAAACTCCTGTTATTGTACTATCGTATGGATACGAGCAAAAACACATTAAATGTATGAAAATAAGTTAAGATAATAAAGATATATCCACACAAAGAATTCAACACAAATAATGAAAAAGAAAACAAGAGGCTCTCAAGAGCCTGAATCGCTCACCTGTATTTCAGAGGAGAAGATTTTTAAATGTTAGCAAACTTGATGAACAAATTGTGTAAAATTGTCTTTAAAGGGCAATAACTCCTTAAAGGGTCAATTGACAAATTTCGTCATTCAACTTTTCTGTAGATCTTACTTTGCTGAACATTATTGCTATTTACAGTTTATATATATCTATAATAATATTCAAGATAATAACAAAAAACTGCAAAATTTCCTCAAAACCTCCAATTTAGTGGCAGCAAACCAACAATGGGTTGTTCGATTTGTCTGAAAATTTCAGGGCTGATAGATCTTGACCAATTGAACAGTTTTACCCAGTCAGATTTACTCTAAAAGCTTTAGTCTTGGAGATATAAGCCAAAAACTGCATTTTACCCCTATGTTATATTTTTAGCCATGGCGGCCATGTTTGTCGATGGATTAAAACTTCGGATACAATTTATAAACTAGATATCCTAAGGAACATTTAGACGAAGTTTGAAGGTATTTGGCCCAGTAGTTTCAGAGGAGAAGATTTTTAAATGTTAGCAAACTTGAAAAACAAATTGTGTAAAATTGTCTTTAAAGGGCAATAACTCTTTAAGGGGTCAATTGACAATTTTGGTCATATAAAACTTTTTTGTAGATCTTACTTTGCTGAAAATTATTGCTGTTTACAGTTTATATCTATCTATAATAATATTCAAGATAATAACAAAAAACAGCAAAATTTCCTTTAAACTATCAATTTAGTGGCAGCAACCCAACAATGAGTTGTTCGATTCGTCTGAAAATTTCAGGGCTGATAGATCTTGACCAATTGAACAATTTTACATCATGTCAGATTTGCTCTGAAAGCTTGAGTTTTTGAGATATAAGCAAAAAACTGCATTTGACCCCTTTGTTCTATTTTTAGCCATGGCGGCCATGTTTGTCGATGGATCAAAACTTCGAATACAATTTATAAACTAGATACCATAAGGAACATTTAATTAAAGTTTGAAGGTATTTGGCTTAGTAGTTTCAGAGGAGAAGATTTTTGAAATAGTTTACGACGACAGACGACAACAGACGACAACAGACGACGACAGACGAAGACGACAGACGACGGACGACGACGGACGCCAAGTGATGGCATAAGCTCACATGGGGCCCTTCGGGCCCCGGTGAGCTAAAAAGGGGGGTCAAACCAATAAGAGCATATGCTTACAACCCTATCGTTTCCGTTCAAAGAAAGAAAGCTTTTATACGTTATTATTAAATTACATGTAGATACTTCTTCCTCATAACACTGTAAAGTACATAGCAAAAATCATGCCCCTCCCTAAAAAAGAAGAATGATCTGTGCCTAAAGAGAATTAATACAATAATATATCCATAAATAGTATTATAGATAACTAACATTATAATCATTGATTGGTTTTATAACATTTCTATGTCAACATCTGTTACACTGTTGTGTATAACTCATATTAGTACTTGCTTTCTAACACGCTCGAAATATCTCGATTTGAATGGCTATTAAATAGTGGTAAGTACAAATTCTGATTTTATTTTCTTCATAAAAGTTGCTTAATTATGTGTCCTCGGTCAAAGCGTGGAAGTTCACTGACTTTGTGAGTAGACCTCCACTTATAAAATGTCAATTGATAAAGACAACCTTCTCAGTTATTACAATCGATGGAAGTTGAAAAGATTTTTTTGGGTTTTATTTGCATATGTTTAATTATGTTAGACAGATAGATTTATTGATGGTCAAAAATCATAATTCCTATTGAAAATTTTAACCTTATGATGACACGTCAAAGGGATGACATGACCGTCATCAATGTCAACAACTGTAACTTATACAGTTTATCACATGTTCAAAAAGAAAGGTAAAAGTTAAGTTTAGGTAAATTTCTAACTGCACATCCGTATTTGACCTAGTACTTTAGACCCTTTACATGAAACTTAACTAGATTGATATATTTCGTATTTAACAACAGTTTTGAGTAATGTATTTTTAAACTAGAGTCCCACATGAGTTCGTGTGTATCATTAGACAACCATGTCTTATTAATTGACGAGGAATCTCCTTTTCCATGTTACTGCATTCAATCTGTAACTTACAAGGAAACTGCAAGTCATATTTGCTTCAACTAAAGTAATAAGAAAAATATCTTCATGGGCAAGTTTTCCCCCTTTATCTATTACTATAACCGTTTTAGTTAGCCGATCGTCACAAAAAAAAATATGAGGCAAGTGCATCACATTGTCAAATTTGGTTTAGTGAGTCACAAAAAGAATATTTGTTCTATGTATTATCCCTGTGCTACAATTTTATGCTAAGTCGTACGTCAAAGTTACAATGTTCGACATGTATGTACTCCAAAGTATTTCTCTTTTGGCAATATTTGGTTTTAGTTGATACAGCGGTTCTAAAAACATGAATGCATATGAAGGAACTTATGATAAGAAACGATAGCTTTCGAATATTGTTTCAACTGCCATGAGAATTATTCACTGTCTTAAAGTTTAGAATGAGGTTTCTTGTGTAAATGGTAGAGAGCTCAAATGTTTAAGTACTATTTTACAAGGAGGGGCTTAGAAAAAGATATAAAGTGCACCCAAAGAAAAGATATTTTAATATCTACAAAATAAAGTAGCTAATTCACAGTAATTTGGAAGTTTTGGTAGCTTATTAAATAGAAGCTAATAATTTTTGAAAGAGGTTTCGTGGAGCATTTGGCAGGCCCAGTATTCAATCTTTCGTAAACGTCCCAAGGAAGTTCTGTCAGATTTGGTCTCAATTTGTTCAGCAGTTCGGGTCAAAAATTGACAAAGAATCGTAAGACCTACTGCTATGTGATGTTGAGACGATTGATTAGTTGATTTTACTTAACATCCAGTTTCAAATATTCCATTCACAATCAGGACGAGAACAAATCAAGCAATTCATTGATAAGTATAATGAGTTTAATGAGATGGCGAGCGGGAAATTTGGATTGCTACTGTAAAACAAGGGAATGTTGAATAATGAAAGAAAAAGAGGACATGGCATTATATGTTTGAAGCAAGATCACACAAAATATAAGACGGAAACATCAGTCATTTAAAAAAAGGTACTTCATGTTGAAAAAAACATGTTGAATGCTGGCTCAGTCATCTTTGATAGAGAATTCAATACCGTATCACGGGAAAGCAAGACTTTCGTTAGTTGTGCCAAATGCCATTACTAGAATAAAGTCCTTAATCAGTTTTACTTTAGCATATATATTTTTTGATACATTATCATGAAAAGCATTTCTTAAATCCTAATGTTTTATGTTTGTGAAGATGTTGTTATGATTACGAAAATTTCCTTCCGACTAGAACATTGCATAATCATAATAGAAAATAAACCATTAGAAACTGGATCAAAGTATAAATAAATGAAGTTACATAAAGACTGGAAGGATACCAAAGTACCTGCTACTAAATTTACATTAGGTGTAAGATTTTATCATTTTTTTGATTTACTATTACAAAACACGAATGAAATGTTGTTTGACATTGAAAGTACAATAAACAAGAATAAATACATAATGCATATCATTTCAGATTATTTAAATTACATAATATTTGTAGGTATTATGTTTTGTGTCGATGTTACCGCGGCAAACAGATGAAACACCAGACGATACATCGATCGTCTGCTGCTGTACTGCACGTGATGAACGCTGTACACTCGTACCAATGGTGATAATGATTGTTGGTTTGGTTTTCATGGTTGTGGGATTTGCAGTACCACGCGGCTATGACTTCGATCCAAATAAACCAGCCCGTGAAATGGAAGCAACTGAGAATTTTTACATTACTTTAGGATATAATTTAGACATTTGTATTACAGTGGGTATGGGGTTCATCGCATTAGGAGGAATGATTATCTCAACTATGATGTTACAAGACGCATTCTGTAGCAAAGAAGATGATGACGATTCGTTCACCGACTATCTAAATATGGCTAACTATTCTAATTATGGTACCTCTGTGACAAACACTCATGACCTGAATAATCATAATTCACGTTGAATTATGGGAGAAAATTAAAACGAAAACAAGATAATTCTATAGCAGCAACGACTTTGTGCTCTATAAACGATGTAAAACACTTTTAAGTGTTTGAAGAAATCTGAATTTTTGACATCTAGCTGCACTATCGGTCTATTACATAAACATGTACACTGTAGAGGAATGTGGAATTGCAACAGATTTTCTGTTTACATTATAAACAGCTACACCCTTCAAACGCACCAGACATTCAGATGTTATTCTTGCGTTTTTCTGCTCATCACTTCACAATACTTTTGCGTCAATATTTAGTTTAGAATTACTGCAAAAACTGATATGGAAGCTTTAACTTACATCTTATCGATTCAAAACGAAATAAAAGCAAAAAACATAATCATATCTAACAACTTATGCACATTACATTTTTGTCAAGAATTAAAAAGAAAAACAAAACAAAACAAAATAAACAAAAACGATATGTTAAAAGGATCGAATTGATCAAAAGGTTTCTTCTCAAAATGCATGTTTTTCAGTATCTGTAACCTTGGCATACAGTATCTGTAACCTTGGCATACCTGTTAAAAAGTTTCTGTTCCATTAGTTTTATTTACGTCAGCTTCCCTTTTTTACTTATACATAATCTAATTTGACTTTTAGTAGGAAGCATAATCATGAAAATTACACAACCTAATGACAATTACATAACTTCTTATATTGTTTATTTTTAGAGATGTTCAAATAGCTTTTAATGAAATTAAACCAAAATAGTTACAATAAACTATGAATGTTGTGTTTTAAAATTTTATACTCATTTTAGTCGTGTCACGTCAAGGCTAAAACTACCATATTGTTCTTAAATACTAGAATGCTTTTTTGATTCTGGTGGGTAGTTCATTGATAATTATACCACATCTCCTTATCTTTATTATGATATTTATTCATTACAAGAAATTTATTGAGCTTGATTTTGACCAAAACATTACTATGGCCATATGCATTGATCTAAGGGTCAAATATTTTAAATATTTCATTTCAAAAGTTATTCCAGGTGAAAAGTGCACACAGATCGGCGTGTCGTATACCATAATGACATACATATGACCTTCATGACGTTTTCTTTTTCGTTTTGACGTGTAACCATATTTTAACAGAAGAAATACTGTCCAATACAAATTATTTCTTAATTAAAGTGATATATTCACTTAAGAAGATTCTTACAATGTGTGACGGTTGATACATTGCCAGCAAGATATGCTTACTGTTGTGACGAGTGATATATTCCCAGCAGGAGATTATTACCCTTGTTACGGTTGATTAGTTTTTAACAGAAGCTACTTATCCTTGTGAAGATTGATACAATTCCTTCAGGAGGGACTTACCCTTGTGACGGGTGAAATATCCTAGTCAGAGATGTTTACCTTGTGACGGGTGATACATTTCCAGTCGGAGATTTTTACCTTGTGACGGGTGATACATTCCCAGTCGGAGATGTCAACCTTGTGACGGGTGATATTTCCCAGTCCGAGATGTTTACATTGTGACGGGTGATACATTCCCAGTTGGAGATGTCAACCTTGGGACGGGTGATACATTCCCAGTCGGAAATGTTTACCTTGTGAAGATTGATACATTTTCCTCAGGAGAGGCTTGCCCGTCGTGACGGGTGATATTTACTAGTCGGAGATGTTTACCTTGTGACGGGTGATATATTCCCGGTTGGAGATGTTTACCTTGTTACGGGTGATATATTCCCAGTCGGAGATACGTACCCTGTTTGACTGTTCTCACTCCACTTGGTATGATGTGGTTCAGATTGTTTCACTCCAATAGTTGTTAAGACTTTAGCCGACGTCTGTAAAGTATTTTCTCATTGTGGACGAATTAACAAAATTATCTATATGCCTTTTTATGGTTCAAGCGTATTAAAATAACAAATACTGCGCACATATTATATATGTGTTTGTCAGCACAGAAAACACGTTTTTCGTTTTTTTATTTTCAGCAGTGTATTTTTGCGAAGCTTACAGCTCAGTCGAGTTAGCCTTGGACAGAAAACCCTGGGTTTTTCTTTTAAGGGATTAAAATGCGTTTTGGGCCAACATGGGTGAAAATGATGAATCAAATATGTATTTTTAAAACGAACATTCAGAAATACTATTGTTCATTTATACATCGACAAATGAAATATCAAATAATTAGACGGGTTTGGTCATTCTTGTCCTGCTTTAATGGAGATTCAAAATGGACAATGATACGTTAAAGTACATAGAATTTACATTTAAAATTAAATGGAGACTCTTAAATAGCTCCCTGATTATCATTATTGTATTCTTACTTAAATCAACAACATTAAAAATAGTATTTAATAATGTTATACATTTATCAACTTATTTAACTTTTTTGAAAAGTTTATAAGCAAATATTTTCTTAATAATTGCAATTCCTATAATCGGTATATTAAAGTGGAATTAAACAAGATAATTAAATGGAGATATACAATTGCAAGTTTAAAAGAAGGATGCAACCTTTAACCTTTTAAATGGGCCTAAGCTCCGGTTGAGTATCATTAAAGCACATCAAAAGACTTTTAAGGGTAGGTTTTCTATGTGAATCTATAAACAAAGAAATGCTTGATAGTTCTCTTTTGCCTTGTTGATGCAGTTTATATTGAATAATTTTATATCAAAGAAAATAAGACACAAAAGTCAAGATGATGTTCACGTCACTCGAATGAATTAAAAATTACTGTCGTACATAATAGTAAAATTTTAGGGCACTCCTACAAATTTCATTATCAAAATAAAATCAATCTGTAAAATTCTATAAATATGTTGATTCATAAAATGTATGCAAATCGTATTGTTTAACTCCAGACTTTTTAACTAACAAAGATTGTTTATATTGTATTGATCTGTATTGCAACTCTAAAACTATTGTGACGCCTAACAATGATATATGCAGACAATTCAGAGGTACAGTGTTTATCCAATTGTTTCGGAAATAGATTTTAGACAATTAGCTTTTAATAATCTTCCAAACATCAGAATTACTGGATTAAAGTGTGCTACAGGTGTCCATGCTTTAGGCTCATTTCTTAAACACTTTATTGCAATAAAACACTACTCCTTTACATTTTTCAAAACATTTCGTATACGATCCGCAAATATCTATATTTGCTTTATTCTTGCAGGAAAGGACTAACTAAGGAGAACCCGAAAGGTCTTTCTTAAACGTGAAATTGCATCAAAATATTCTTATCTTTAACTTGTGGCATGAAACCAAAGTTACATTGAATTAGAAGCATCAACAGTGTAAAAATCTTATGGTTAAACAGCTTCGATATCCGGTAGTAGTTAAACTAAACAACATGCCAATGGAGTTGACCCAGCCCTCCACATTTACAAGACTAATAAAGCCCGGTTGTCACTATTAATGTAAAACTCTGACCGCGTAAACATTGTCCAAGTCATCTGTTGCCACTATCAAAGTTTTTCATCAAAAACTTGGTCAAAGAAAACTTTGACCAGGTAAATTTGATCCAAGTCATCGGTTGTCATATTATCAAAGTTATTTTGGTCAAAGAATAACCTGCATTGTGATTGGATAATTCCCGTCCAAGTCCATCCAAGTTACAAGAAAAGTAGGATGAAATTCTATTCCATCCAAGTCCGTCAAAGTTCTTCATCCAAGTTTTCTTCGACGGTTGTCACTATAAAAATACCTTCAAAAACTTTGACCAAGAATAATTGTACAAGAAAACTTTGATAGTCATAACGGGCCTTAAGGCACAAGTTGTGTCAGGAATAGAATAGGACATATATATGAACAGAAGATAGTACTTCAATTAAATCACGGTACACATAGACATACTCTGAGTAAAAACAATTAGAAATACCGGGGGGGGGGGGGGGGGGGGGGGGGGGTGAAAGGAGGAGTGTCGATTGGGTGAAAACTGAAGGGCCGACTAAGGTGAAAAAAAGACCACTGTGATAACAGGTGTTTCGACAGGGTAAGACCCCAAGGACTGACAATGGTAAAGTAATACGGTTTAATACATGTTCTGTCCAAAGGATAAGACATCAAGGGCTGCCTAAGTTCAAGAAATACGGTGTGTTACCAGGTTTGTCGATAGAGTCGGAACCCGCCAGCTGACTAAGGAAAAGAAAAACCAGGTGTGTCGACATGGTAGGACCCCGAACACTGACGAATGGAAAGAGGTGAGGCTATCTAGAGTTCTCCTATCTGGCAGAAAAACCAATGTCACCCGTCTGACTGTCTGAATGTATAAATACGTAGTCACGTCCGGTCGGAATAGGGACGTATAAGGAGAGTAAAAAAACTCTTTTAGGGTTCCATTGGTTGCCTGTTACACGACACATTGTCTCCTATTCAACGTAACCTCTTTTTCGCAGGCGAAAGGCTATACAAAACCTACCTCTTGAATTTATTCAAATTTTTTCGTCAAGAATGAGCATGAAATATTTGTCACTGGACTATTATTAAACACCAATCAATCAATTAACAGGATAAACATCTGCTAGATGTTTCCTGTTATTAGACTCCAATGTCACATCCAGTTGATAGCCGAGTCCACCACAACACCAGTTATCATATCAGATGTACGAGAGTGGACATTTGGGAGATCTGTTTTAAATTAATTTGTCAACTTTTGTAAAATTAATATTTGTTTTCTTTGAATAACCAGAAACATTGTATAGTATATCTATTCTTGTATTCTGTCATGGACTTTAATATAATGACAAAACTTAAAGGCACTCGGGTACACATGTATATGCACTTTTAGTGCACTGTAAGCTTTGCATGGTCGTTAATTAAGTTATGATATTTATAAATGACAGTAGTAGCACTGTGGTCTTTTGTAATGAAAACAATAGTATTTTATGTCATAAACTTAGATGACTTATTATCTGCCACCTAACTATTGTGAAATAAAGTTATTAATTACCTTAGTAAATTTATGAATGTACTTGGCAGCGAGCGGCGATTCATGATTTTGTAGATAATGCACATAAAAGAATAGACATCTCTTTTTAGAACATTCTCGTTATTACGTTACCTTTAGTCATGCTGGGGTCAGCAAAAATTGTCCTTTTTACACCTGTTGCATGTAAAGTATATGTTATGTGCTTGTCGGGAGTACCAGATTCTATAAGATAAAAAATCAATTATGGACCACTAACATATGTTTTGTGGTTTACCCTTGCATTTTAATGACCATGTAGAACAAACAACAAAATATATTTTGTCTTACCTGCTCTTCTTATGTCATACATACATCTAGTATGGTAATTGGATGCACCTTCAAACGTTAGATGTGACAATGTAATTGAACAAAAGATAGAGTTAAGTATTTCGACACGTATTGAAATGTAACATGCACCATGACGAGTATTTGCAGAGTGATGAATGTAAGTGACTATTAAAGGAGACAGAAGCTCATTACGAAGTAGTATGTTTATAATTTTAAAAGGTGGATTGAAGATGGACAAATTGAAACAACGTAAATTATGACACACTTTGATCATTGAAAATTCTTTACTGAAAAGAAACATCTTCATAGATACTATCTTTCGGAACACAAACTATATGTTTAATGTATTGTTTTAATAATGCACTTCAAGTACAGTTGAATGATAAATAATTAGAGCCAAATTACTAGTTGCACATAGTTTAAAAGATCAAACGGTTGCTCCAGTACAGTATATTTTTTGATAGTTTTGTTACAGTGGTACAAGGAGCCGACAATTAATGTTATCTTTACAACACAAA